AAAAAGAACAAGGGCATAGCGAGTGCAAAATAAAAAGAACAAGGGCATAGCGTGTGCAAAATAAAAAGAACAAGGGCCTAGCGTGTGCAAAATAAATAGAACAAGGGCCTAGCATGTGCAAAATTGCAAGAACAAGGGCCTAGCGTGTGCAAAATTGCAAGAACAAGGGCCTAGCGAGTGCAAAATAGCAAGAGCAAGGGCCTAGCGTGTGCAAAAAATCAAGAACAAGGGCCTAGCGTGTGCAAAATAAAAAGAACAAGGGTCTAGCATGTGCAAAATTGCAAGAACAAGGGCCTAGCATGTGCAAAATAAAAAGAACAAGGGCATAGCGTGTGCAAAATAAAAAGAACAATGGCATAGCGTGTGCAAAGAACAAGAGCCTAGCGTATGCAAAATAAAAAGAACAAGGGCCTAGCATGTGCAAAATAAAAAGAACAAGGACCCAGCTTGTGCAAAATTGCAAGAACAAGGGCCTAGCGTATGCAAAATTGCAAGAACAGGGGCCTAGCGAGTGCAATATTGCAAGAGCAAAGGCCTAGCATGTGCAAAATTGCAAGAAAAAGGGCCTAGCGAGTGCAAAATAGCAAGAGCAAGGGCCTAGCGTGTGCAAAAAATCAAGAACAAGGGTCTAGCGTGTGCAAAATAAAAAGAACAAGGGTCTAGCATGTGCAAAATTGCAAGATCAAGGGCCTAGCATGTGCAAAAAAAATAGAACAAGGGCATAGCGTGTGCAAAATAAAAAGAACAAGGGCATAGCGTGTGCAAAATAAAAAGAACAAGGGCCTAGCGTGTGCAAAATTGCAAGAACAAGTGCCTAGCGTGTGCAAAATTGCAAGAACAAGGGCCTAGCGAGTGCAAAATAGCAAGAGCAAGGGCCTAGCGTGTTCAAAAAATCAATAACAAGGGCCTAGCATGTGCAAAATTGCAAGAACAAGGGCCTAGCATGTGCAGAATCAAAAGAACAAGGGCATAGCGTGTGCAAAATATAAAGAACAAGGGCATAGCGAGTGCAAAATAAAAAGAACAAGGGCCTAGCGTGTGCAAAATAAAAAGAACAAGGGCCTAGCGTGTGCAAAATGGCAAGAACAAGGGCCTAGCGTGTACAAAATTGCAAGAACAAGGACCTAGCGAGTGCAAAATAGCAAGAGCAAGGGCCTAGCGTGTGCAAAAAATCAAGAACAAGGGCCTAGTGTTCGCGAAATAGCAAGAACAAGGGCCTAGCGTGTGCAAAATAAAAAGAACAAGGGTCTAGCATGTGCAAAATTGCAAGAACAAGGGCCTAGCGAGTGCAAAATTGCAAGAGCAAGGGCCTAGCATGTGCAAAATTGCAAGAACAAGGGCCTAGCGTGTGCAAAATAAAAAGAACAAGGGTCTAGCATGTGCAAAATTGCAAGAACAAGGGCCTAGCATGTGCAAAATAAAAAGAACAAGGGCATAGTGTGTGCAAAATAAAAAGAACAATGGCATAGCGTGTGCAAAATAAAAAAAACAAGGGCCTAGCGTGTGCAAAATAAAAAGAACAAGGGCCTAGCCTGTGCAAAATTGCAAGAACAAGGGCCTAGCGTGTGCAAAATTGCAAGAACAAGGGCCTAGCGAGTGCAAAATAGCAAGAGCAAGGGCCTAGCGTGTGCAAAATTGCAAGAACTAGGGCCTAGCGTTCGCAAAATACCAAGAACAAGGGCCTAGCATGTGCAAAATTGCAAGAACAAGGGCCTAGCATGTGCAAAATAAAAAGAACAACGGCATAGTGTGTGCAAAATAAAAAGAACAAGGGCATAGCGAGTGCAAAATAAAAAGAACAATGGCCTAGCGTGTGCAAAATTGCAAGAACAAGTGCCTAGCGTGTGCAAAATTGCAAGAACAAGGGCCTAGCGAGTGCAAAATAGCAAGAGCAAGGGCCTAGCGTGTTCGAAAAATCAATAACAAGGGCCTAGCATGTGCAAAATTGCAAGAACAAGGGCCTAGCATGTGCAGAATCAAAAGAACAAGGGCATAGCGTGTGCAAAATATAAAGAACAAGGGCATAGCGAGTGCAAAATAAAAAGAACAAGGGCCTAGCGTGTGCAAAATAAAAAGAACAAGGGCCTAGCGTGTGCAAAATTGCAAGAACAAGGGCCTAGCGTGTACAAAATTGCAAGAACAAGGACCTAGCGAGTGCAAAATAGCAAGAGCAAGGGCCTAGCGTGTGCAAAAAATCAAGAACAAGGGCCTAGTGTTCGCGAAATAGCAAGAACAAGGGCCTAGCGTGTGCAAAATAAAAAGAACAAGGGTCTAGCATGTGCAAAATTGCAAGAACAAGGGCCTAGCGAGTGCAAAATTGCAAGAGCAAGGGCCTAGCATGTGCAAAATTGCAAGAACAAGGGCCTAGCGTGTGCAAAATAAAAAGAACAAGGGTCTAGCATGTGCAAAATTGCAAGAACAAGGGCCTAGCATGTGCAAACTAAAAAGAACAAGAGCATAGTGTGTGCAAAATAAAAAGAACAATGGCATAGCGTGTGCAAAATAAAAATAACAAGGGCCTAGCGTGTGCAAAATAAAAAGAACAAGGGCCTAGCCTGTGCAAAATTGCAAGAACAAGGGCCTAGCGTGTGCAAAATTGCAAGAACAAGGGCCTAGCGAGTGCAAAATAGCAAGAGCAAGAGCCTAGCGTGTGCAAAATTGCAAGAACTAGGGCCTAGCGTTCGCAAAATACCAAGAACAAGGGCCTAGCATGTGCAAAATTGCAAGAACAAGGGCCTAGCATGTGCAAAATAAAAAGAACAACGGCATAGTGTGTGCAAAATAAAAAGAACAAGGGCATAGCGAGTGCAAAATAAAAAGAACAATGGCCTAGCGTGTGCAAAATTGCAAGAACAAGTGCCTAGCGTGCGCAAAATTGCAAGAACAAGGGCCTAGCGAGTGCAAAATAGCAAGAGCAAGGGCCTAGCGTGTTCAAAAAATCAATAACAAGGGCCTAGCATGTGCAAAATTGCAAGAACAAGGGCCTAGCATGTGCAGAATCAAAAGAACAAGGGCATAGCGTGTACAAAATATAAAGAACAAGGGCATAGCGAGTGCAAAATAAAAAGAACAAGGGCCTAGCGTGTGCAAAATAAAAAGAACAAGGGCCTAGCGTGTGCAAAATTGCAAGAACAAGGGCCTAGCGTGTACAAAATTGCAAGAACAAGGACCTAGCGAGTGCAAAATAGCAAGAGCAAGGGCCTAGCGTGTGCAAAAATTCAAGAACAAGGGCCTAGTGTTCGCGAAATAGCAAGAACAAGGGCCTAGCGTGTGCAAAATAAAAAGAACAAGGGTCTAGCATGTGCAAAATTGCAAGAACAAGGGCCTAGCGAGTGCAAAATTGCAAGAGCAAGGGCCTAGCATGTGCAAAATTGCAAGAACAAGGGCCTAGCGTGTGCAAAATAAAAAGAACAAGGGTCTAGCATGTGCAAAATTGCAAGAACAAGGGCCTAGCATGTGCAAACTAAAAAGAACAAGAGCATAGTGTGTGCAAAATAAAAAGAACAATGGCATAGCGTGTGCAAAATAAAAATAACAAGGGCCTAGCGTGTGCAAAATAAAAAGAACAAGGGCCTAGCCTGTGCAAAATTGCAAGAACAAGGGCCTAGCGTGTGCAAAATTGCAAGAACAAGGGCCTAGCGAGTGCAAAATAGCAAGAGCAAGGGCCTAGCGTGTGCAAAATTGCAAGAACTAGGGCCTAGCGTTCGCAAAATACCAAGAACAAGGGCCTAGCATGTGCAAAATTGCAAGAACAAGGGCCTAGCATGTGCAAAATAGAAAGAACAACGGCATAGTGTGTGCAAAATAAAAAGAACAAGGGCATAGCGAGTGCAAAATATAAAGAACAATGGCCTAGGGTGTGCAAAATTGCAAGAACAAGGGCCTAGCGTGTGCAAAATTGCAAGAACAAGGGCCTAGCGAGTGCAAAATAGCAAGAGCAAGGGCCTAGGTGTGCCAAAAATCAAGAACAAGGGCCTAGCATTCGCGAAAAAGCAAGAACAAGGGCCTAGCGTGTGCAAAATAAAAAGAACAAGGGTCTAGCATGTGCAAAATTGCAAGAACAAGGGCCTAGCGTGTGCAAAATAAAAAGAACAAGGGCATAGCGTGTGCAAAATAGCAAGAACCAGGGCCTAGCGCGTGCAAAATAAAAAGAACAAGCGCCTAGCGTGTGCAAAATAAAAAGAACAAGGGCCTAGCGTGTGCAAAATTGCAAGAACAAGGGCCTAGCATGTGCAAAATTGCAAGAACAAGGGCCTAGCGAGTGCAAAATAGCAAGAGCAAGGGCCTAGCGTGTGCAAAAAATCAAGAACAAGGGCCTAGCGTTCGCGAAATAGCAAGAACAAGGCCTAGCGTGTGCAAAATAAAAAAAACAAGGGTCTAGCATGTGCAAAATTGTAAGAACAAGGGCCTAGCGTGTGCAAAATAAAAAGAACAAGGGCATAGCGTGTGCAAAATAGCAAGAACAAGGGCCTAGCGTATGCAAAATAAAAAGAACAAGGGCCTAGCGTGTGCAAAATAAAAAGAACAAGGGCCCGGCTTGTGCAAAATTGCAAGAACAAGGGCCTAGCGTATACAAAATTGCAAGAACAAGGGCCTAGCGAGTGCAAAATTGCAAGAGCAAGGGCCTAGCATGTGCAAAATTGCAAGAACAAGGGCCTAGCTGTGAGAATAAGCGAACAGGAATGAATGAACTAGCAGTGAAAATGAGTACAAGTAGTAAACCCTAGAATTGTGTACCCCCTATAGGCTAACCCACTGTAGCCTACACAAGCATAACATATATAATGTTTGACACACCCCCATAGGCAAAGTGGGGGAGAACAAGGGGTCACAAGACCAGTCAAGCAAAGCAAAGCAAGCTCAGGGTGGATCACAAAGTCATCACACAGTCCGAGCATAAGAGCAGGGCCAGAGGCCAGTTCACATGCAGGAGTACAGACATATATATAAAACTAGACAAGCAAGAGCAGGTATATATATATGTCACAGTACAAGTAAAGTCAAGAGGAGAGCAAGTGAGGCAAGACAGGCACAAGACCCAGCTGGGTGCAAAAGCGCTGATGGTCACAAGGCGCGAGTGCCTTGGTGATCACATCAGCAGTGTTGGCCTCAGAGGCCACGTACGCAAGTCGCAACTGACCACGCTGCTGCAGCTCACGAGCAAGGAAGTAGCGGAGAGCAATGTGCTTTGTTCTGTGCTCCAAGCGCTGCTCTCGACACAAGGCCAGCATGGCCTTGTTGTCTACGTACAGCACTGGAGGAGAACGAGGCGGCTCTCCAAGGTCAGTGAGCAGGTAGGTGAGCCAGCGAAGCTCCCGTGCAGCCATGGCCCCGGCGTAGATCTCAGCCTCACATCTGGAGCCGAGAACCGAAGCAGGCGAGTAGACCGCCACGAGACAGAGCCGGAACCAAGGCTGAAGGTGTAACCCTGTGACGACCGCTGCGTAGCCTGGTCGTCAGCCCAAGAAGCGTCCGCGTGGCCTGTAAGGACCACTGGACTCCGCCCTCCAAGCACTAGCCCCATGCCCGACGTACTGCACAGGTAGCGCAATACCCTCTTTGCTGCAGCCATGTGCTCTGGTCGGTGTCTCCCAGGAGCAACATAGCGTGCAAGGATGCTCAGAGGGTATGCAAGGTCAGGTCGTGTGCAGGTCATCAGGTACATGAGGCAGCCAACAAGCTCTGCATACGGACCACTCGACTCTACGGACTCATCCGAAGGCAGAGCTGAGAGTGAGTGGCGAGTAGGCAGAGGAGTGGCCTGAGGCGAGGAGTACGTGAAGCCGAAGCGCTGAAGGACCTGCTGCACCATGTGTGACTGAGTCAAGGTAATGGTGCGGCGTGCTCTGTCCCGAGTGATCTGCAAGCCAAGGTAGCTGCGCAGTTCACCCAGGTCTGTGCACGTGTGTCTCTTCAGCAGCTCGGACTTCACGTAGGCGAGTCCAGCAGTGTCCGCTGTGGCAAAGACCAAGTCGTCGACGTACACGAGGATGTAGAACGGCGGCAGTGAAGTGTCGGTGCGTAGAAACAGCGACGGGTCGGCAGTGGAGGGAGCAAACCCAAGAGCCGCAAGCGTAGTCCTCAGTGTGTCGTGCCACTCACGCGGTGCCTGGCGGAGACCGTAGACTGGCTGTCGGAGGCTCCACTGGGTGCCAGGAGGGAAAGTCCCAGTGAAGCCAGGTGGACGGCGCAGCCAGATCTCCTCGTGCAGGCTACCCTGCAGGAACGCAGTGCTGAAGTCGAGAGAGTGAAGCTCGTAGTCGCGCTGAGCGGCTATGTGCAGCAGCACCCGAAGAGTGGTCATCTTCGGGGTGGGAGAGAAGGTCTGAAAGTAGTCAACTCCCTGCCGCTGACTGAAGCCACGAGCAACGTACCGCGCCTTGAAGACAGGTGGAGAGCCCGGCGGCCGCTTCACCCTGAAGATCCACATGCCACTGACGATGTTCGCCCCAGGAGGGGGAAACTCGTCAACGTAGATGCCTGTGGACTTCCGGGAAGCCATCTCTGCATCCATAGCTGCCTGCCACTGAGAGGAGTAGGGACCCTCTACGGCCTCCGCGTAAGAGCGCGGAGTCGGGATGTCTAGTGCATCCGGGTCTCCCTCAGGGGCAAGCAGTACAGACGCGAGATGAGGTGAAACAGCCGCTAGACACTGTAACTCCTCCTGCCTGTCCTCTAGGACGTCCGTGCCAAGAGCACACTCACCCCCGACGGACGGAGGACAGACAGACGCAGACTCAGCAACAAGACTAGCAGCGTAGTCGAGACGACAGCGAGCAGCAAAGTCGACGAGCTCAGCGACGAGAGCAGACGCAGCAGTGGACTCAAAAGAGGGGTCAGTGACGACAATAGCAAGCAGACGCGTGACAGTAGGACTGGCAGCACGAAGAGAGTCCGACTCAGGGTCGGCAAGCGCAGGAAGAGAGGACTCAGGAGGAGAAGGCAAAGGGGCACGCAGAGGAGCAGTGGACGGACGCAAAGACATCCGGTGCGTGCCAGGGACAGGAGGAGGACGCTGACGCGAACTGCGACCACTAGCGCGAGCAGCACGAACAGGCGACGCGGGGCGAGACGCAGGCTCACGACGCTCAGCAAGACCTCCAGTAGGACCAGTGTAAGGAGAGGGAGCAGGCAGTGGAGAGGAAGGCTCCAGCAGGGACTGCGACTGGACAGGCGGTGGACCCTCTACTGGAGGAGAAAGACCAAGAACCTGCTGCAGGAGTGGGACGAAGTACGGCCGAGGCCGCGCAGCAGCTCCAGACGCAGCGGGGACAGCACCAGCACCCTCAGCGACAGCACCAGCGCCACCCACTCCTCCAGCGGCAGGACCAACAGCAGCAGTCTCAGCACCAACACCCTCAGCAGCTCCAGCTCCAGGAGGACCCGCAGGCCCAGCAGCTCCGGGACCGGCAGCACCAGCACCCTCGTTGGTCGAAGAAGCTCCAGCTCCAGCTCCAGCAGCACCCCCAGACTCAGCAGCACGCCTCCAGCGCGAGCGAACCACTCGCGCAGCTCCTGTGGAGAGAGGGGCTCCCGGCGAGGCGCAGCAGCAGGAGAAACCCCAGGCTCAGCAGCTCCAGACGCAGCACCCCCAGGCTCAGCAGCTCCCAGCTCAGCACCCCCAGGCCCAGCACCTCCAGGCACAGCACCCGCCGGCTCAGCACCCCTAGGCTCCGCACCCTCCGCAGTAGCACCCCCAGGTCCAGCAACCCCAGGCTCAGCACCCCCGCGCACAGCACCCCCAGAGTCAGCACCCCCAGGCTCAGCATCCGCAGCAGCACCAGAGTCACCAGTAACCTCGACCGGGTCAACAGCGTGTACCTGGGACACACCTGAGGGGGCAGGAACCTGAGGGGGGAGGGGGTCTACCGGGGGGGAACCGGCACAAGGAAGTCCGGGGGAGGGGGGAGGGAAGGAGTGCGGTAGGGGAAGAGACGGTAGAAGGGGACTGACTCGTCGAACGTGACGTCCTGGGAGGACAGAACACGACGAGAGGAGGGGTGGTAGAACTGCCACCCTGGGGCGTCAGTGGGGAAGCCAAGGAAGACACAGGGAGCAGCACGAGGGGACAGCTTGTCCGCAGACAAGTCGCGAACAAACGCCCGAGATCCCCAGACACGGAACGCAGACGCATCGCCAACCTTCCCCGTCCACAGCAAGGCTGGGGACATCGCAGGCCTAGAGACCCGGGGGTGAAGGTTGAGCTGATGCGCCGCGTACCGAACCGCAAACGGCCACAGAAAATGGGGGGCAGCTGCATGCATCATGGACGTACGAGCGACATCCATGACCATGCCAATGCGGCGCTCAGCAATCCCATTTTGCTGTGGAGAGTCCGGAAGCGTGAAGGTCTGGCGGATCCCCCGTGCACGACAGTAGTCTCGCAGAAGGCGAGAGGAGAACTCTCCGCCTCTGTCCGAGTGCAGACGCAGAACAGGAAAGTCCGAGCCGAAGCTCTTCCTGAGCTGGAGACGAGCCTCGCGGATCCAGTCGATCAGCACCTCAGTGACCGCACCCTTGCTGCGCAAGGGGAGGACTGTGGTGTAACGCGAGTAGTCGTCAACCACCAACAGGAAGTAGCGCTCGTGACCCTGCCCACGGACGGGGGCTGGGCCCCACACATCCATGTGAAGCGTCTGCAGGGGAGCCTCTGTCGGGGGGAAGTGAGAGGAGTGAGGAGTAGCCCGGAGGCGGCCCTCGACACAGGGGACACAGGAAGGTCCTGGCCCGGAGGGGAGAGGAGGGAGAGACTGGGGAAGACCAGAGACAAGGACACGGGAAGCCATGCTCCGAAGACGGGGCAAGGAGGGGTGGCCAAGACGGTGGTGCCACAGGAGAGTCTCGTGAGACAGGAGGCGACAAGAACAGGGGGCAGACTCAGGACCTGACCGGGACGCAGCAGCAAGCACCTGACCTGACGCAGCTACCTGACCGGACGCAGGGACAGGAGGAGACGAAGTTGTCAGGGTGTAGAGACTCGACCCCGGCCGACGCGAGAAGGTGGCCAGGTGTCGGCGTGTGCGTGCGTCCGTGCAGTGGGTCACCCGCTGACTCGCAGGAGTGAACTGGTGAACCCCCGCATCCTGCAGGGCTGCACCACTCACCAAGTTCGTAGAGAACGAGGGAAGGTACAGACCAGACAGGGTGCCCGAAGGGGCAGCCGGACACGGGAGGACAGTGGAGAAGTGAGACAGGACAGGACCCCCAGAGGGGTCAGCAAGGGAGACCGCAACCGGCCGGCCGAGCGGCGTAAGGGTAGTGCGGTCTCGAAAGAAGGAGCGAGAAGCCCCGGAGTCAAGTGTGAAAGTGAGGGAGGACGAGGGCGACGCAGTACCTGAGAGCGCAGTCTCACCAGTACCTGAGAGCGTAGACGCACTGGCACCTAGAGCAGCAGCCTCACAAGCACCTAGCGCAGCAGTACCAATGCCCGGGTCGGGCTGGAAACACCGGTAACCCTCATTCTCCTCACTATAAGTCACAGCATACATAGCAGCAAGGATAGCATCAAAAACAAGATCAAAGATCGCTACACCAGCCCTAAGAAGCTCATCCCAGCGAGGGATCTCACTAGCCCCGGGGAACTGCTGACGCCAAGCGTCCGTCAGGCGGCCAAAGCAGCGCTGGGTGGCGTGGGCACCCCCACACTGCTCACCCGCGCGGTCGCCGGAACGAAGAACGTAGGTGCAGGGACCAGTACCCCCACCCCTCTGACGCCCAGCGTACCACTCACGAAGCTGCTGAGGCGGAGGGATGTCCCGCGAGCGCTGCTGCTGCTGCCGCTGCGAGCGCTGGCCACCACCACCGCCGCTACGCTGCTGGGTACCACCCCGACCAGCTCCACCTCCTCCACCACCACCGCCTCCTCCGCTGCCGCCTCCACCGCCTCCACCTCCGCCGCCTCCACCTCCGCCGCTGCCTCCACCACCACCGCTGGCACCACCACCACCGTCTCCGCCGCTGCTGCCACCACCACCACCACCCCCGCCACTAGTCCCGCCGCCACCCCCACTCCCTCCGCCGCCACCGCCGCCACCGCCACCGCCCCCTCCAGCTCCACCCGCGCCCTTGCCCCCCTTGCCCTTGCTGGAGCGACGTCTCCCACTAGGGGCAGACGCCGCGCCGACCGACTCAAGACCAAGCAGGTCGGCAGCAGCAGCAGAGGCAACAGAGGGCAGCAAGGGGGAAGGAGAGCACCCCTCAAAGATGGGGGTGCGAGGGTCACCACGAGAAGCACCTACAGCGACTATGCTCTTCTCCGCTGCGAGGAGGGCCTTCTCGAGGAGGTCGACGGTGAGGGTGGTGGGACAGACTGCGAGAAAGTGGTCCCTGACGACGCGAAGGGAGTCAGGGAGGCGCGCGACTACGTAGTAGAGAGCGATGTACATGGGGGGTGGGTTCTTAGCGCAGAACTCAGCAGGAAGGGCGGCGCGGTAGCGAGTGTCACTAGTGCGGAGGTGCGTAATGAGGTCAGCGACAGTGGGAAAGGCAGAGAGGTCAGGAAAGAGGTAGGGAAGCATGAGACGGCTCAGTGCAGCAGTGGCAGGGGAGGAGTAGCGCGCAACTACAGCGTCGTACAAGGTCTGAGCACTCTTGTACTGACTAAAGTGCGCACGCTCAGAGGTAGGGAGGTGGCGACGCACAGCAAGACGTGCAGCAGCATCGCGGGTGGCCCACTGAGAGCGGACAGTGGGATCAGCATCAGCAGCAGGAGCAGGAGAGGCGCCAGAGGTGAGGTCAAAGAGAGAAAGGCCGTCAGCCCTGTCGCATTGTAAGAACAGCTGCAGGTCGTCTAACCAGACCTCAAAATCAATGGCGCGACCCTCAGCGTCAAAAGCTAGGACACTAGGGGTAGCCATGGCGACGACAGCTAAGCAGTGCAAGCAATAGGGGAAGAGCACGCAGTGACAGTGGGACTGTGCTCACCAGGCAGGGCAGGACGTGCAGCTCTGCAGAACGGCGGCTCGGCGACCGGGCGGCTCGGGTGCACAGCGGCTCGGCTCCCGGGCGGCTCGGCGGCAGGCCGGCTCGGGTGCAGGGCGGCTCGGCTCCCGGGCGGCTCGGCGGCAGGGCGGCTCGGGTGCAGGGCGGCTCGGCTCCCGGGCGGCTCGGTGACAGGGCTGCTCGGGCGCAGGGCGGCTCGGCTCCCGGGCGGCTCGGCTGCACTGCTGCCCGACTGCTGCAGGTGAGGCGGCGGGGCCGCGTGAGAGAACCGGGGCGGGGCCGCGTCAGAGCCGGCGGCAGGGCCGCGTGATGGCCGGCTGCGGGGCCACGTGAGAGCCGGGGCGGGGCCGCGTCAGAGCTGGCGGCGGGGCCGCAAGAGAGCCGGCGGCGGGGCCGCTTGAGAGCCGGGGCAGGGGCCGCGGCAGGGCCGGCGGCGGGGCCGTAAGAGAGCCGGGGCGGGGCCGCAAGAGAGCCGGCGGCGGGGCCGCGTGAGAGCCGGGGCAGGGGGCCGCGTCAGAGCCGGCGGCGGGGCCGTAAGAGAGCCGGCGGCGGGGCCGTAGGAGAGCTGGCGGCGGGGCCGCGTGAGAGCCGGGGCAGGGGCCGCGTCAGGGCCGGCGGGGGGGCCGTAAGAGAGCCGGCGGCGGGGCCGTAAGAGAGCCGGGGCGGGGCCGCGATCAGGAGGCGGCGACGGGGCCGCGTCAGAGCCGGCGGCGGGGCCTCGTCAGGGCCGACGGCGGGGCCGCGTTAGAGCCAGCGGCGGGCCGTGATCAGCGGGCGGCGGGGCCGCGTCATAGCCGGCGGCAGGGCCGCTTCAGTGGAGGCGGCGGGGCCGCGTCAGAGGAGGCGGCGGGGCCGCGTCAGAGGAGGCGGCGGGGTCGCGTCAAGCATGCGGCGGGGCCACGATCAGGAGGGGTGGCGGGGCCGCGTCTGAGGGACAGCAGGGCCGCGAGAGCAATGGCGACCCGAAGGGTCGCGAAAATAAATGCGCGCCTCGGGGCGCACTTCGGTGGGCCCTAAAAAAAACGGTCCTTAGAAAGGACCCGCTCTGATACCATGTGAGAATAAGCGAACAGGAATGAATGAACTAGCAGTGAAAATGAGTACAAGTAGTAAACCCTAGAATTGTGTACCCCCTATAGGCTAACCCACTGTAGCCTACACAAGCATAACATATATAATGTTTGACACTAGCAAGTGCAAAATAGCAAGAGCAAAGGCCTAGCGTGTGCAAAAAATCAAGAACAAGGGCCTAGCGTATGCAAAATAAAAAGAACAGGGGTCTAGCATGTGCAAAATTGCAAGAACAAGGGCCTAGCGTATGCAAAATTGCAAGAACAAGGGCCTATCGAGTGCAAAATTGCAAGAGCAAGGGCCTAGCATGTGCAAAATTGCAAGAACAAGGGCCTAGCGAGTGCAAAATAGCAAGAGCAAGGGCCTAACGTGTGCAAAAAATCAAGAACAAGGGCCTAGCGTGTGCAAAATAAAAAGAACAAGGGTCTAGCATGTGCAAAATTGCAAGAACAAGGGCCTAGCATGTGCAAAATAAAAGGAACAAGGGCATAACGTGTGCGAAATAAAAAGAACAAGGGCATAGCGTGTGCAAAATAAAAAGAACAAGGGCCTAACGTGTGCAAAATAAAAAGAACAAGGGCCTAGCCTGTGCAAAATTGCAAGAACAAGGGCCTAGCGTGTGCAAAATTGCAAGAACAAGGGCCTAGCGAGTGCAAAATAGCAAGAGCAAGGGCCTAGCGTGTGCAAAAAATCAAGAACAAGGGCCTAGCGTTCGCAAAATACCAAGAACAAGGGCCTAGCATGTGCAAAATTGCAAGAACAAGAGCCTAGCATGTGCAAAATAAAAAGAACAAGGGCAAAGCGTGTGCAAAATAAAAAGATCAAGGGCATAGCGAGTGCAAAATAAAA